CCCCAGCCTCATCTTGCAGCAGCCGGACAAGGAATTGAAGCCTTGCAATAGGGAGAACCCAGAGCTCTGACCCTGCCACCCAGGGGGTGTGAGGGTCCTGGGACCCCAGCCCCATTGGGTTTCTGTGCACCCGACATCCCGGGAGCACCTCGGCCCTGTGCTGGATGCTGGCCACTGCAGCGCATCCTCCACCTGCCCGAGTCTTAGCAGGTTGAGCACGTCCTTGTCACTGGAGAATCCTGCTGCCCACTGGGCCAGCTGACAGTACCACCCAAGCAGCTCACCTTGGAATTCCCCTCTGCACCAACGCCCTTCCCCCTCCCCTAGCACCACAGCAGCCTGCGGTGCCTTTCCTGGCTTTCCACACTGACAGCAGAAGCGCTGTCCTGGACAAGACCCCCCAGGAAGGCCCCAGAATGCCCCAGGCCCAGCATCCTGCTTTTGCCTGCTTCCTCCTCACCACTGACCTGAGCAACCCTTCCCATGGTCGAAAGGGAAAGAGACAGACAGGGCATTGAGGAGGCAGACAAATCACTCGTCCCCCAGCAGGGCACCTTTCCTCCTAAAGCATCTCATCTGCCCCCCCCCACCCCCGTTTTCATTTGCATCCTGCAGGCGGTGAGAAGCCCAAGCCTCAGGTTACAGAGGGCCCTCCCCGCCCCCCGACCCACCCCCGCAAAGGCTCTGGGAGGCCAGCCCCTGCCCCTCCCAGGCCAAGACTCTCTTTGGGGCTGGCCCAGAGTGAGGTTCACAACCTAGATGGTTTTCAACTTAGGAGGGGTCCACAGACCCCAGAAATTGAGAGTGTTCATATCAGGTGTGTCTGGACACGTGTGTCTTTCTGGATAGAGACTCTATGGTTTCCAGCAGGTTCTCAGTTCTCCGATGCAGATCCAGAATCACTGGCCCAAACCAAGGACAGAGGCCCATCTGGTCTGCTCAGAACTAAGGGAAGGAAGCAGTGAGGCCAGGGTGGCAGGGCTCACCATCACTTTTCTGTTCTCTCTCAGTTTACTGTACCTCCACCGGGTGACCACAGCTGGACAACTGGTGTCTGGCTCGGCCATAGGCAACAGGATTCCCATTTTTCTGGATGGGAAAACTGAGGCGCAGGGAAGGCTCCATAAACCAAGCAGGCACCCCTAGGAGACAGGGCTGGGAAGTGACATGAGGTGGGCAGTGGCAGTGCCTGGGCCATGGAGCAGCACAGAACGTCAGTTTTAGGCCAACCTGGGACCTACCAGCCATTGGTCCAGTTTATGTGATTTTGGACCCAGCTGTTTCTGCCCCCAAGTAAAGGTTCCTCCAGGGCCTGCTGTTTCCTTTCTTTCTCCACAGCTTCAGAAAGCTTAGGCGAGAAGACGGAATGGGCAGGGGGATGAGAAGAGTCAAGTTCCTGCCTGTCTCCACTCTCAAGACCAAGCTAGAGTTTGGGGCATAGGAGAAGCCCTAGAACTGACATCCCACATAGGGACTTCCCTCCAGCCCCCAAGGCCACAGGCGCAGCCCAAAGATATCTGCTCAGACACCTAGAGGTCACACACTCAGGGCAACCCCCTGAGGCTGACACTTGAAAGCCTGACTAGTTTCTGGGAACAGAACCAGGAACATCTTCACTGGACGGGGGGGGGGGGGGGGGGGGTCCTCCCCACTTCTTTTCTCTCCTCCTGGGAAAACAAGATCACACAGATACTATTTTTCATTTGTTCCAGGTTCCCACCACCAAGCTCAGCTTCCAAGATATGGCTCATGTGGAAGGAAGGACCCACCCAGGACCCAAGGGCCCAACCAGCCTTGGGCAGGAGCCTGGGGAACAATGTCCCGAGGGGCTGCATGTTCTGGTCTCTTCTCTTGCTGCTGCTGCTGCTGCTAAGTCACTTCAGTCGTGTCCGACTCTGTGTGACCCCATAGACGGCAGCCCACCAGGCTCCCCCATCCCTGGGATTCTCCAGGCAAGAACACTGGAGTGGGTTGCCATTTCCTTCTTCAATGCATGAAAGTGAAAAGTGAAAGTAAAGTCGCTCAGTTGTGTCCGACTCTTAGTGACCCCATGGACTGCAGCCCACCAGGCTTCTCTGTCCATGGGATTTTCCAGGCAAAAGTACTGGAGTGGGGTGCCACTGCCTTCTCCAGGTCTCTTCCCTTACCAAACCCTAAATATGGCTTCAAAAGGCAAATGCAGGGTAGAAGGGGAGAAGAGGTGAGAGAAGCTTGTAGAGACTGGAGTCGTCACGGGGGTAGCCAGGGCCCGGTGTGTGTGCATGTAGTGGGTAGCATGGAGAAGCAGAGGCAACCAAGAAAAGCCTACTATTTACAGGGCCCAAGTTATATGGGCTCTTCAGAGCATAGCCAAGTCCAGCCCCTGGAAAAGGCACCCAACTTTTCTCCCCCAGGAAGAGGAGATGCCAGAAGCAGTCTGTGACGGCAAGCCCTGAACTCCAAACCACAAACTCAATCTATCATGGTTTGCTGGAGATTCTTTATTAAACCAATTCTGTTGGATCGGTGCTTCCTGCCCATCAAAATGATGAATAAATACTCAACTGGCCCGAACAATGCTTGCAGAAGCTCTTGTGAAGCCTGAGCTGGACACTGGGGATTGGCTCCACATAGAGGCCCAAGGCCAGTGACTGAAACTCGAGGGACTGAGGCTTAGGGTGCTGGGTTGGCTGGGGCGAGTGGGGAAGGGTGGGTTGAGTTGGTGGGTGTTCTCAGCCTGGAAGACTTGGCCATAGTCCTTGCCTCTTTGACCTTGTGAAGATGAGACCAGCTGCTTTGGCCTAGAGGCATGATCACAACCCTTTCACATACAAGAGAGAGAGTTTTTCTTGGATTTCTTCTCTTGCACTGCACCTAGCATCAGGCTGCATACAGAAGGTGTATGCTTGCTGCTACTAATTCCTGGTGCTTGTTGCACAAACCCAGATTCAAAGCCTAGTCTGACCCTTTTCTGGTTGCCCATTTATCAATCCCATTGCAGTCACACATCCCTATCCCTACCACCCTCTTCTCCGCCATGTCCCAGGTGGCCTGTGGTTAGTAGGAGATTCTGCAGCAAGGGGACTGCAGATAGACATGCCAAGATAGGCAGAGTTCGATCAGGAAGGCAGGAGAGGTTGCATAGATGCAGTCAGCCTGGGCCCAGCCCTTCAGCATCCCGAGTAAGGGGCAACTGGGAGGGGAAAAGCCAGTTCCCAGAAGGTGCTCCATTAATGCCTGTTGATAGCAGAAGCTAGGCATACCTGGGGTTGGTCCCTAGCAGTCTCCCATCACAAGCAATGAGGTTGGTGGTGAGAACTCTGAACAGAGGCTTTCAGACAACAAAGCCAGCAGGGAGCCAAGAGAGGGAAGGGAGGTCGATATTGACATGGCCTACCTGCCAGCACCACCAGGGAGTTAAGAGACAGGAGGAGCCCAGGACATCCCCCTGGGGCGGGGGGGGGGGGGGGGGGGCGGAATACAGGAGACAACAGCGCCTTCCCATGCCACCCCTAGCTGCTCAGGCTGGGATCCTCGGGTCCCAGCACTGACCTGAGGGGAGGCCACACTTTAGGAAACTGGCACAAGGAACCAGCCACAGTTCCTCATGGGAGGGTCTCCCATCAGCTCACACATTAGCTCATTGAGGATTGTAGCTGTTTGTTTAGTCTGTCCTCTGGCTGCCCATGCCCTCTGGGAACAGGAATCTTGGATATTAGGGTTAGGTAGAGCGATCCTTCAAAATAGGAAAAGGTAGGGGCCCTCCGTTCACCACCTATTTTAAGCCGTTGAGTGTTGCCTGACTGGTCATTCCTAGCACAAGAAATCTCTCTCATTGGATGGAAAACGGCTTTGCTCTCATTACAAACCTAGCTTCCCTGGAGTTTGCAAAGAGGGCTCTGCGTTGGCAAAATGTTCATTTATATTGGCAGGCAAGCAGGGAAGGCAGGGAAGAGAGCTAAATAGGGGGCAGGGCCCAGAGAGAGAGAGAGGATAAATTAAACCCAGCTCAAAAGGGTGAACGTTTTCCAGACCCTCACTTCAATGTGTGTATCAGGAAAGCCCAGGGAGGCCCCAAGATCTTGATGAGGGTAGGGGCATCCCTGATTCCAACTTCAGAGGCAATCATCAATCTCTCTTTCTGCACAGTACCCCCACAGGCCAGGAGTGGTATCTGCTCCTCAGTGGCATCTACTCGTGTGATGAGGAGGGGGCTGGGTTCCTCTCCCTGACTGGTAGTCACACCGTTTGGGGAACCAGAGCTGACCCATGAAAAGACCTAGCAGATGCTGGAGCTTGGACCACTGGGGTGAGAATGGGGCACAGGGCAACTGCTCATCAGTCAGGACACCAGGCATCTTCACTGACCACGGCGAGCAAGGTCATGCTGCCCTGATCATCTGGATGCCAGCTGCCCAGGGTGCCTGCTCCTGGCCCACTACTTGGCATGAGGGGTTGGGCCCAGGGCTAAGGTGGGTGCAGAAGGCTTTTACCCTGGACCTGAGGCCCCAGTGACCTCAGTCTCCCTGGAGCTCCTCCCCAGTTGCAGCTTCCCAGGACACCAGAAGGCAGATAATAATGCCTAGGGTCAGCGCCCAAGGAGCTGGCTCAGATGCCAAAAGGTCAGTCTCTCTTCCAGGCCCTGTTCTGCATGCTAAAAGACCTGGAGCAGCCGCGAGGATGTCCACCCTGACTCTGCAGCCCAGAAGAGGGAGGCGGGATGTGGGGCTTAAGGTGGCAGAGCCTCATCGTGGCTGCCAGCAGGGCTAGGCCAGGCTTTGAACACCTTTTCAGCTTGCCTCTAATGTGGCCGAGAGGATGAGGTTGGGAGGCTGGAGCACAGAGGAAAGTTCTCAGCGCGGTGTAAGAGGAGGTCTGGGGGTGTCTCGGAGCCTCGAGGCGCCCCAAGCTCCCAGCGCGAGGAAGGAAAGTTAACTCTGGCTGAGAGGCAGGGCCGAGAGACAGGAAGCATGCCTGCGACCGCTCAGAGAACCCACAGGACCGTCGCCGGGCCCCCTTACCTGAAGTCGCTGTAGGGGTGGATAATCCAAAACCCGGCCGACTTAACCCTCTCCTGCTCGCGTTCTACCGCCTTCTGGCTGCCGAACATTCTCAGGGAGAATTTGTTGACCCCGGGCTGGAGCATAGCCCCGAACTGGCGCTGCATGAAGCCGGCCTGGCCCAGGCGCACCTCGGCCTCAGGGAGGATCTGGTCTCCAGCGGCCGCGCCTCCCTCTACTTTGATCGCGGTGTCCACCGAGGGCTGCTCGCAGGAGGCGGGGACCGGCTGCGGCGGCTGCTGGGGCGGCGGCGGCGGCGAGGCTGCAGGTTGCGCCGAGGCGCCGGAGCGCTCGGGTTCAGCCGCCAGGCCCGGGGGCGTCCTGTCCTCACCGGGGGACGCGTCACCCTCGGCGATGAGCCGCCGCTCCTCCACGGAGTCATGCAGGTGCCCGTGACTGCTGCCGCCCCCCGCTCCCGCGCCGCCGCCGCCCCGGCTGCCGAGCGATGCCAGGCTCCCGCGGAAGCGCCTGCAATCGCCGTTCGTGCTGGACTTGCCCGCGCCGCGGGCTGACCCCTCGCCGTCTGCAGCCCCGTGGACCGCGCCCCGGGGCTCCGTGCCGCCCGCGGCAGCCGAGGGTGAAGGCGAAGGCAGCGGCCGCAGCCGGATGCTCCTGCGGCTGGGGTCCTGGCGGCCCCCAGCCCCCTCCTCCTCGGCGTCCTCTTCCTCGTCCATGATCCACGCCTTGGCCCCCACCTGCTGCGGAAGGCTGTAGAGTCGCTTGCGCATGGACGGCGGCAGCTTGTCCATGGCTCCAGGGGTTGGGGCGCGAACCGGGCTAGGGGCAGGGGCGCGGGTGCGGCGCCGCGGACCGGCTCCAGCTCCTCCCGCCGGTCAGTCCGCCCGCAGGGACGCGTCCTTCGCCGCCGGCGCCAGCCGCCTCAGGCGCCCATGCTAGGCAGGCTGTGAGCGGCGGGGAGGCTCCCAGTCCGGCTTCGGGTCCCGGGGCTCTCCGCGCTGCGCCTCCTCCCGGGTCCGGCTGGGCGCGGGGACCCCGCTCTCCCTCCCTCCCTCACTCCCGCGGTCAGGGGCGCGGCGCGCGGCCGGGCTCCAGGCGCCCCGCCCCCGCGGGGAACAATGGAAGCGGGTTGAAGCGGCGCTGCGGCCGCGGCGCTCGGAAAACCGCTCCGGAGCGCAGAGCGCACGGCCAGCGCTCCTCTGGGGCGTGTGTCCCGCGGGCAGGCGGGCTGTCTGTCTGTTCCGCCGCCCGGGCTTTGTGGCCAGCAGCTCGCGAGCTCGCCTCGCTTCCTCTGGCCGAGCCCGGCCAGCACGTCCCGGGGCTCCCGCTGCAGCCGAGCGGAGCCCAGCGGCCCGCCGGGCTTACATCAGCGGCCGCCTCCCCCGGAGCGCCCTCCGGCAGCCCTCGGCTCCCGCGCCCCGGAATATTCATGAAGCCGCCGCAGCACGCGGGTTGCCATAGGAGCGGCTCCCGCAGCCCGGCCTGCCTACCTGGGCTTCTTAAAGGGGCAGCGGCGCGCGGGCCAGGGGCCGGGAGGGGGGCGGAGGCGGGCCCGGCGCCGGGCGCAGGGTGGACCCGTGCCGGACCTTAGGGGCCGAGGTGAGAGACGACCTTAATCCTCAACGCTCGAGTGTCTTTCCCTGGCCAAAGGCTGGGAGCGCGCCCAAGCCCAGGGCTCGGGCTTGGGTTGCTAATTCCCCACCCCAAGATAGAGGGGTAGGGCGGGGTTTCCCGGTCTCTCCTCCGAGCACCGGGCTCGCCTCTCCCCCGCGGTTATGCTTTTCAGCTGGGTCTCCGACCCTCCTCCGGGGAGGCGGGCCGTCTGTTGGCGGAGTCCCGGGCCTTCCCGCAGCGAGCCTGGAGAGGGGGTTTCCGGGAAATGCACTGCGTCGGGGCTGCTCCTGGGGTTTTCCTGTGACACGGGCGGGGGCGAATCCCCCGCTGGTCTTTCCCCTGCGGAGTCTCGCGGCGACCCGGCCAGGAGGGCGTGGGGGAAACTCCAGGAGGCACAGGGCGCGCAGGTGCGACCCAAGCCCTTCGAGGTAAGACTTCGAGGAAATGCGCCTTCAGCAGTCACGGATGCGGGGTCGGATCACGCACTCCGGGGTGCTTCCGATGCGGGTTTCCGAGACTAGCTTGCTGCAGCAGGGAGCCAGCAAGCGGGCTCTCCTGGGCGACCTGGCATTCCGGGACTGGCTGTGGACCTCCTTCTCCCTGGTTCTCCTGCAAATTGTGGCACCCCAACGCTAGGGGAGTTCCTGCTCCACCCCGGCCCCTACCCCTGAGCAGAGCTACACAGCCCCCACTCCCTCTGAGTCCGCTCCCCACCCCCACCCCCAGGCCCGCCGGCGGTCCAGCTGTGCAGTCTCCGGGCTTATGGACAAATCCCACCAGCTCTGCCAGAGATACAGCGGTGCTCCTCTCCAGCCCTCTAAGAGAGCCTGACCCCCATCCTCACAAGCAGGGCTGGCCAGACACCCTCCCCCTCCCCGGGGAGGGGGTGGTTGCCGAGATGGCCCAGGGGTTACTTAGACCCTGTCAGGGCCAACGTGTCAGATTAGCTCAGAGATGAGATGGGAAGGGGTTGGCTGGCGGAGCCTGGAGTTCGTGTTAATGCTGAAGTGGATTCTCAGCACTGACAGGGGGGAGGCAAAAAGGTCCCCCAGCCTTGCCACCTCTCTAAAGAATAACATCAAGTTTTTCTTGAAAGAATTTTTTATTCTCATTCTTAGCTCACTTGTGACCATCTCTCGCACCCCATTCAGAGCAGAAATTTTCTGCAATCTGGCAGAAGCTTTTCTGCTCTCTACTCAGGACTACAGGACCTCCCAGGGGGAGAGGGAATGACTAGGGTGATGACATCACTGCTTGCTGGCATTTCTACTTTTGAGCGGTTCTGAGCTGACAGTTCTCTGCACAGATGCTGGGAGGCCTAATCCCTGAATGTCCTTGGGTCTCCTTGAGGAGGAGTGTTTTTATCCAGTGGTGAGCCCTGCCTGCCCTGGTGCGCCATTTAACTCACTTCTTTGGGTTTCTGTGTCAGCCGGGAGTTAGGCTGCCCTACCCCAGCTTCAGGAAGTCAACCCAAACCAGCTCCCCAGTGACCCATGGCAGGGTCATCTCCTCGTCTAGGAACCCCTTTCCTGACCACCCAAATTTTGGCCATGTCCCCCTTTTGGGTCCCATGGCCCAGGAGCTCCCATCAGCCTGACTATTGATTACACAGTACAGGCCGTGTCGCCTTCAGGGGTGAGCTCCCTAGGGGGAGGACAGGTCAGACTCATCTCAGGGAACTCAGCACCAATTCAGAGTTGGGGGGGTGAGGAACAGCAGATCCATAATGTCAACTCAACACATGAGTGAGGGACCCTGGAAATTAGTTAATGTCACTGAAGGGGCTCTGTGTAGTAGATGGTGGATTCAATCACGGTTCTGCTTCCTGGCACCCTGGTGTCACAGGCTTTCCAGGAGTCAGGGTCCCTTAATTCCTCCCCATCTAGCACCTCCCCTCCCCTCAGTTTAATTAATACCACCCATTCAGGGCCATCTAGGACCACCCTTGTGTGAAGAAATGACTGTTTATTAAAGCAGGTTCATGGAAACCCCTTGTGAAGCCTAGTCTTCTCCCTCTGAAAACTGTAATAGAGGATAGCTGTGGCATGCCAGCAATCTGAGGGAATTAGGAGGGGGAGACTCAGGTCTTGCCCTTGATGGGCTCCATGTTGTGGAGAATATACATTCATGTTCCGGAAAGAGGAGAAAACTCAAGACAGAAAAGAACTGTGTGCTAAATCATGCCTTGACCAGTGAGATTTGAGGAGGGGTACTTCACTGAGGCTTGGGGGTAGCTAGGGAGCACCTTCCTGGAGGAGGTGTTGGATTTGGTGAAAGACCATGTATCCAGCACTTTACAGCTTACACTTCATTTATTAAACCGCATGAAATTTTTGTGGGCCAAATATGGTCAAAACTTTCCAGTTTCACCAAACTCAGCCTAACATTCATACTCCCATTTGCAACCTAGAAAACTAAAGCACAGAGACTTAAGTGACTTTCTAAACATCCCACAGCAAGAATATGATGGAACTGGAGCCACACCTAGGGCTCTACGGGTGGCCTCTTCTCGGCTGAGCAGGTGACTCACACAGACGGGGGTGGGGGCAGGCCCAGGTACAGGAGGGAGAGGCAGTTCTGAGTCTAGTGTGGCTAAAGCAGAGAGCAAGCAAAGAATGGAGCCCGCACGTCTGTAGTCTCCCCACTGCTTCACTCAGGTTTCACACACTCTCCTTTCCAGCACTGCCTAGAAAGCCTGACATCTGCTCTGCACTGATCTGGTAACACAATACACAGGATCTGGGGACCCCAGCAAGGGGAAGGCCTTGCCTCTGGGCTGAGATAGGGAGGAGATCTCTGACTCTCCGCTGCAGTGGAGGACTGAGTACCTCTGGGAGACAGATGTGTACCCTGCCAGGCTGCAGGGGTCCTGGGTATTCCCGGAATGCAAACCCAGAAAAAATCTGGGTCCAAGAGAGCATGGGCTGGGGAGAATAGACTTCCTTCCCTAGAAGGAATGCTGAATATCAGAAGACCTGCTGGGGATAGGGTGGGGATGTAGCTGATTATATACATACCAACCGATCAGTGCCACAACAGTGGCAACCTGCATGGGCAGAAAGGAATGGAAAATTCTGGAAGTTTATTTGCTCACGGTCTGCTCTTGCTTAAAGGTGCAACTCTGGGATAGGGCAGTGGCTCCCACACTGTGTAATGCCAAGGTTTTGGCCAGTTCTGCTTGAAATTTAACCAGAAAAAGAGAGAACAATGGAGGATTTTTAGGGTAAGGTTGCCAACGTCCTTTCTTAAAAAGCTGTCTTTATCCTACCATTATATCCTTGTTGCATCTTCTGTGTTAAAATGCCCCTTTATGAAATCATAGTGCTGGGAGAGGGTATTTTTCATGTCCTTGGCTAAATAAAAAGTTGGCATAGGATTTTGTGTTCGTTCCCCAGAATCATTTTTGAAATGTTATTTGTCTGTGGATTCCAAAAGCCTGGAAGCCCCTGCTATAAACAATAGAGCGTGAGACTGTAAAACAGAAGCTGTAGAATGAAATACTGTCTTTTACTGCCCATGTATTCCTCAGTCTTCCTTGTGTATAAGATGGGTTTAATGATATATACTTCCTGGGACTTCCCTGGTGGTTCAGTGGTTAAGACTCTGCACTTCCATGGCAAGGGGCACAGGTTCAGTCCCTGGTCAGGGAATTAAGATCCTGCATGCTGAGTGGCATGGCCAAAAGGGGGGAAAAAAAATGATGTGACTCTCCTAAATTATTTTGAAGACTACATGAGAAAACAAATGCAGTGGGCATGGCTTCTCATGTGTGGTCTGTTCTTAATAAACACTGAGTGGTAAAATGTTGAATGAAACCTGTGTTAGCCAACAGAGGGGGAGACATGTGGCCTTTGGAATTCAATTTAGGTCATATATTCATCTTAAAAATTGCTATTGCGATGAAAGGGATGTCTTGCTATACAGATTGCTTTTTCTGAATTCTCCATCCTTGATATGCCCTGGCTAGGTGTCCAGAAGGCAGGCTTTCTTCTCTCTGGGGTAGGTGCTTGTTTAAGTGGGATCAGAGGGAACTGACTCAGAGGTCACACCCTTGAGCCTGTGCCCCCAATACATGTACAATTGCATCTTTCTGTTTATCATAGATTCCATTCTCCCCATGCACCTTCTGCTCTCCTCTGAGGCAGGTCTGCACTGTGGGCTGGATCAGAGATGTATCAACTTCCTACCGACAGTCCTGATCTGGGGGCTAGGCCCCCAAGAACCCATTATATTCCTTCAGGTTTCCTATCTTCAGGCTTCCTGGTGAAGAAATGGGAAGGGGGGGTGGAACACACAGGGAGCTGGCCAATTGGTTGTACATGTATGGAGAGAAGAAGTCACCCACCCAGTCTTGACCAAGCCCTTGGCTGTCCACCCCTGAGCATGGCCACAACATGGCTGGAGGCCAAGAAGGCAGACAGATTCCCTAGCTTGGGCAGTTCCTATCTGGTTGAAGCAGAGAAAGGCTATCCCCACCCAGAGGTTTGTAATCAAGGATCAGAGTAAGTAGTTCAGAAGCTCAGAGCAATGGTGCTCCTGAGCATGTTATGGTCCAGGTAGGCTTCCTGGAGGAGACGGAAAGTAAACCAAGTTTTCTAGTAGGGTTTTCTACTGGTGAATGTTTCTTAGGGGGAACTAGTAAGTGGAGCAGCCTGGTAGGGGTGAGGCCTCTCTCAGTGGGGTAAACAAGGCAGGGTCAGAGTAAAGATCCAGTTTAAGGGGTCACTAACCTGTTGTCCTAAGCTTGTCTTAGGAGAAAGTCTGCTGTCCCCATAGAAAAAGGGTATTGAGTCCTTCCAATCCCCTCTTCCCAACAA